TTTTTGCCTGACTTCCTCTTTGTTGGGATGCATTGCTCCTGAGCTTGGAGGAGGTGATCCTTGAATATTACCCAGCTTTCTTGGGTCCCTCTTCCCTCCAGGGCTTTGTCCCATGGCACTCTGCCAAGCAGATCCCTGAAGAGGCCAAAGTCTGCTCTCCTGAAGGCCAGGGGAGTGAGCTTGCTGTGCACCCTCCTCAGTGCCCTAAGGATCTTGAACTCCACCATTTCCTGGTCACTGCAGCCCAGGCTGCCCTTGAGCTTCACATTCCCCACCAGCCCCTCCTTGGTGAGAACAAGGTCCAGCATAGCACCTCTCCTCGTTGGCTCCTCTACCACTTGGAGAAGGAAGTTATCATCGACGCATTCCAGGAACATCCCGGATTGCTTATGCCCTGCCATGTTGTCCCTCCAACAGATGTCAGGGTGGTTGAAGTCCCCCATGAGGACCAGGGCTTGTAAGCGTGAGGCTGACAATTATGTATTTGCTATTGTGCTTTCCCCCCTGATTCTTTTCATAAATGGATTTTTGTGGTTTTGAAATCTTTGTTAGAATAGAAACTGCCCAGTGATTACTCAACGTAATATTTTTAAATTAACTTCTTTGTAGAATATAGAATTTCATTTAAAAGTGTTAGAAAATAGTCATATTTCCTGTAGATAAACTCTAAAACCTTGGAATTGAAAGCTTTAATCTAAGTTTATAATAAGTGGTGGGAAAAATTTAACTGCTGTATGTATGAGCAAAAACTCTCTCAGCATTTGGAAAATGTTTTGAGATAGATGTTTTACTAAGAAATAGCCAGGATGTTTTCAGGAGCTGTAGAGACCAGACACATACCCCTGTGATATCATGGCACAATCTGTCATTTCAGTTTCCTTGAGAGGCTCATTGCTGTCAATAACCAGGAACTGACAGAAGGAGCCCTGTGGCCTGAGCCCCCTAGGATAGTCCCCAGCCTTTGGTGCACACTGGGTGCCACATGTTTATAAGTCACGCAGTTTGTCTCTCTCCTTTGGTCCACATTCACTTCCAGGCACAAACCTGTCTTTCCATTAAGGAAGGAATAGCCTGAAAAAATAGCAAAATAGCAAAATTGTAAAATTGCAGTAAGTCCCACCTCTCCGATACCTACCCAATCTCACCTGTTCTATGTCATATATTTTGTCAGTGTTTCAACCTGGGCAAAGTCCCTCCTGCCAGCATCACTCCAGGTAATTTGTTATTTTTATTTCCCCCTGTGAATCAAGAAGGAGGAACCCAGTCACCAGCCCCTGTCCAAATGCTTCCCCTAGTACTGCTCTACGGTTGGGTTGTTCGTTAACTTACCGAAAGCTCAGTGCTTAACATCTTCTGAGGCTATGTTCTCACTTGTACTTATCTCCCATGTATTTCTAGAGGTTCAGTTCTCTTTTAAGGAGGTACACTCCCTCCAGAAGTTTGTTGTTAGTATCAATTAAGTTATTGGTATTAATTGCTAAGTGTTATACCTCTCTTGCGAAGAAGCACCATGTTTACTCATATGCCAACAGGACACCAATTATTTGTACCCAAACCTTTAAAAAATGAATATAGGACATTTTATCTCAACAAACGTTCACAAAAATGTGAGCAAATGTTCCCTTTATATTGTCAGAAAAATGGAAGTTCAGAGACTTTTTAGCTAAAAGAAATAAAAAGACCTGTAGCTTTTCACCAGCATTCTTGTAGAAAATGTAGATAAAACTAGAAAATGGTTCATTTCCCTTAAAAATTTTCTGCTCCAAATATGCCCATTTCACAAGCCATTTTTGCTAGATGGATCCTGTTGACAACATGGGTATTTTATTGATCTTATTCAGTGTGAACTTTCATGCATCATTAATGAGATGAATGTACTAGATGACAAGTGCTGAAACACACTTTCTATCCTACATCTCTTTGGAGAAGGGTGGAGAGAGGACTACTGCAACTGAAACTTAACCATAAACATCATGCATATGAATTGAAGCAAATGTCTTCCAGCTGAAGATATGAGATATTCACACTTTTGAAGAATGAGGGACTCTGTAAATTCACTTGAAATACGACAGTTGTAAAATAGTTAAAAGCTTGAAATAAAACTGCAAAAATGTTTAAGCAAGCTTCTTATCAACTTTTTTTTTTTTTTTTTTTTAATATCTGAACAGGGTTGTATCCTATGCTTGTTATCCATCATTTTGGAACAATCACCTGGAGCCATCAGGTGAAAATCACTGTTATGTGTCAAGTGAATATGGAAAAAACTATACAAATGGGCCATGTCCCAATGCTTTAGAAGAATCCAATTGGTTATACCGGTGTGCCTCTCACTACAGGGTCTCCTCAAAAGTAAGTTCGTGCTGTTCACCCATGGTCTCACCCATTTTTCTCCTTTGGGGCTTGAAAATTATCTGGTATATGGAAAATTGTTCACTTTACTTGAAGACTAGAGCTGTGAATTTTCCTTTGTATTGCCCCTGTATTTTCAGTAGTGTTTAAATTCTTTATAGTTTCTCAGTTTTACATAATCTCTTTAAAGCTGCTGCTTTATGGTCCTATAGAAATTAGAGTTAGAAAAGAAAGTATGCAGTCATAACTGTAGTCCTTCTTAAACATGTTTCTGAAGGTTTTGTTCATTTGGTAAACCAAATATTCTCTAGCAGAAATACAAGTACAATGGTACATTTATACCATATATATGTATGTACACAATGATAAATTAGTATGAGTTTTAATTTTATTTAATAGAATGTATTATATTCCCTTGCCCTCTCTGCTGCTGCTCTCACCTCCCCTCAGGAAACCGATATAATGAAAGAAATCATGGACAAAGGACCAGTGCAAGGTATGGTAAGTTTGGAAGATGATATTATTATTATTGAAATAATTAAAGTGTGCAATGTCCTTGTATCAAAATATTAGAAAACATAAATTGCATTCCACAGTGAATAAAACAGACATATGCACTGTAGTTCATCCAGGGATGTTTGGTGGGCCTAAAGGCAGCTATACTGCATCAGACTCCATAATGAGTAAAATGACCTTGAGCTGGATTTGTTGAAAATTTGTGCAAAATCTGTGTGCCAGAAATGTGCCTTTTTCCCACGACAGTTCTTTACTAATTGATGAAATAATAGCAATTTTCCCCCACTGGCTGAGACCAACCCACCACGCCTGCTCTCCTCTGAAGGCAACGCTGCAGTATATGGGCCCTCCAGCAAATCATTCAGTGCTGGAATAGTCCCCAAATTTCCCCTTTGAGAGCTGAAATGCTCTTGTTGTTTGTAGAGGGCTATCAGTTTTGAATTTTTTTGCTGAACCCTGCAACGAAGATCCCTGACCTCTTAGAGAAATGAAGACTTCAGCAGGGAGTTGTTTAGCCTGAATACTGTCCAACTGCAGTCATGGATGGTGTTGGCAGCACTTGAAAATGCAGGTTCCTGCTCACAACCCAGGCCAGTGTAACTGAAGAGGTTGAGGGATGTGGGGTTTGGGGTGATGGGGAAAGGTCATAGTGCGGGATGTCCACCCCTCTTGGATGGCTGGCTGATGCAAAACCAAAGCATTTTACTTCAGGGGACTTCTGCATTTTTACTGCCCTCAGTTATATAATGATTTATCATAACCTCCAATTTATTATTGAAATGGTCCTGATTATTAAATTTAATTCATTTCGGTGCATCATGTAGTTGAAATTATTTCTTAAAGCTCTTTATGTGGGCAGTTGCAATTAATCTGAAGCTCAGACTTAACAAGATCAGTATTATCAGTCTTTTTTATTCTGCCCAAGTTCATTTGCTGAAGGAAAATATTCTCTCCCATGCTGCATTTGATCTATAAGTGAACATAGTAATTTCCACTGGTTTTAAGAAAATGAAAAAATTAGGATCCTCAAGATAAAATTTCAGACCTCTCTCTAATATTGCATTTGTAGTCCGGGTATACACAGTTTGCTGGATTAATCTGTCAGTACTAAATCTTCCACATAAAATAATCTATATTCAGCCATTTGTTCGGTTTTAACCACTCAATAATTCATACAATTTTTTTGAAATGTCACAGCTTTTTTCAGAGAAAATGTCTGTATCAGGTTAAGGTAATGCTGTATGTGGAAAAATCAAGATCTAAAGAAGAGTATATAGCTGAGAGTGTGTATCAGTGAATGAAATCACTTTCCATTTTTTCTCTTTGCTATAATGAAATTTTTAAATGAGTCACAGTTATGACCCAATAATTTGTCACTGATTCTCTCTTCTATCTTCCCATACTACAAATGCAATCAGGGCATAATTCTAATTTTAAAACCACACCATACTTTTTTTCCCCCAAAACATCCTGCAAATGATCTTCAGCTACTGAAAGAGATTTTTCCATTATTCATTCACTTCTCCTTCCTCAAGAACTTACAAAGTGCTTATGGCCAGTCTTATCTAATGTAGTAAGTAATGTTTAATAGCTGGAAAACATTCAAGATCTTTTCAAGATCGTGATGTAGAAAGTCATCCTGTTTAATGATGAATGTACTTGGATTTTTGGGCATATTCAAAGTTAAGAAAAATATATATTTTTTAACAATTATGCAACAGTAGGTGTAGGAATGTAATTGAAAATGTTCTGTCATACAGCTTTCAAGTTTGAATGACAATTTCTCTCTGACATATGTCATTGTTTTATATGGTACAGGAACTGAGCAATTAACACTTTCAGATGCAAATGGTGAAACACTAGTTTTTTAAAAAATCCATTTTCAAAAAAACAGTTAAATTTTATTAATGTTTTGGAAACACTCAAATGGACAATCTAATATTGGCCACTCATCTTTTTTTTTTAATGGACTTTAGGAATTACTCTGATAGTTATAGTGCTGACGTAGGAAAAGAATCCTTTCTGTCACATTATTCAGTCTCAATCAAAAGAAAAGCAAACACATTGTTGGCAATACATCAAAGTTTTGACCCTACAAAACTTATAATTTCAGCTATCATGATCTTGGAAAAAAAGGAGTATTTAATTTGCTGACACAAGAAAAAGATCTGGAGAAAGCACTAGGCTACACTAATGTACAGTGCTACACTTCCGTTCCTTTTGTAGCAACTACTTTTAGTTTTTTGTATCTTTGTATGTCTTAGAGACTCAAATTCTTATCTAAGAATTTTATGCAGAGGAATCCATAGTGGAATGAATCTTACAATCTGCTGCATTTATACGCATAAATCCGACAGCTCAGCATGACTGAGGTAGCTCATGCATGAGCTACAGTCAACCTTATGAAAATTGCTACCTTTTCTGATTCATTAATAATGAATCCATTCATTTTGGAAAATGCAAAGTCTCTTCTGCATGGGACAGAACAAAGTTGGCTGATGGACTGTGATCATCCCATCCTGACCAAGTCACAGTCCATATCAGGACAAAGTCACTGAATAAATAAAAATCTCTCAGTGCTTGATTTTGAATTATCATCTTTCTGTCCACCCTGCACTTTATGTACCAGCCCACTTAACTCCAAAGACTGTACCATTATTTAGCTCCTGACTGCAGGGTATATACATATAGATATGCATATACATAAGTATATATATTTACATATATATATACACAAATGTATACATACACACACACTCTAAATGTAGATATAATATGTAATCATGGATAAAATTCTCTCACATAGACTAAAGTTATTCTGGAAACACCCTTCAAAATTTTCTATTTAATTTCAGTGGAAATAATTTAGGTATGATGTTTCTTCACAGAGACAAGAACATGTGTTTTATTTAGAGTTGCTGATAAAGAATAAATTGTTCTCTGAAACTGAACATACGGACCTCGATTTCAAAGAACAATGTGATTTAGAAATGAAACTACCTTCTCCTGTCTTAGCCCAATGATAGATGAGATTTTCTAACCTCAGACCTCCCGTGGGAGAAGTGAATTTTGCAGTCCTTGCACTCACCCCTGTTTCTTTGCCTCCCTTTGGCCAAGGTATCAAAACAAGATCCAGGGAAGCCTCTACAGTAATTTTTTGGATGACTCATCCCCTTCATTTCTCCTCTGACACCCTCACCTGGACTAAGGCCAATGGGATTCTTCTTCCCCCTTTCTGTTCCTTTATACCACTTTAAAGCTCTCCCTCCACAGGCTCCTCTGCAGCTCAGAAACCTCAACAGCTGGTATTTTACATAGCGGTACAGGGATATCCGGGGGGGGGGGGGGGGGGGGGGGGGGGGGGGGGGGAGGGGGAACCTTTGCAGAGAGCTCTAATGGAGTCCTGAGCTTGCAGCTGGAAACCAAGACTAAAGTTTGTGCTATTTTCCACTTGGTCTGTTGCTGTCAATATGTGTGAGCTCTGGTTCTGCAGGCAGCTTGGCAGAAGCTGTAACGTTATTCATTAAAAGCATTTAACTTTTTTCTGATTTAACTGATAGGTCTCCCCTAGACTTACCACCTGGGTAGCATCGTGGCTGCTTATTCCCCATGTATTGCTGTTGGCATACATTTTTTACGTGAGCGACCTCATTAGCAAAGTATATTTTTAGCCAGGTTTCCTGGGCAAATGGGCTCATTTGACCATGTTTTGAGCTGTTCTCTACATACTCCTAAAATTTGTTAATGTTTTCTGTTTTCAGCCAAGTATGATAGAGGCCAAGAGGTTGTAAAGATAGTTAATTTCCTTCAAGCTTATGAAAATATTCAGGTAGGAAAAAGAAATTTGAAAGTGTGCCGGACAGAAAAAACTGCAGCATGAGCTAACCTTACTGGATACTGCAGATCTATACCAGGCACATATGTTATAAATGCTCCAACCACATAAAGATGGTCAGTGAAACTTGTACTTTATGGGACTCCCAAGGTGCAAGACTTTAGGAAACTGGATTTCGCTACTTCTCATGTTCCAAGCTGTGTGGCAGTCTGAGACAGTTAAAATCATAAGCTAAAAGTAAGATGGAGTTAAGCTTGTATTTAATGCTTCTGATTCACTGGAATCTGAAGGTAATGTAGACCTGGAAAATATTTTCATTTCTCTGGATCTGGTAGCCCACCATACAGCAAAGCAAATGGTACTAAGGTGGCAGAACAAATATGGAAAAGAAACCCAAAACATTTTTCTTAAAAAACAAGTGAATGATATTCCCAGAAAATAATGAATAGACATAAAATACAAATTGTAATCTTCATTGTCTTGCACAAAATTTCCAGTTCATCAGCTCTTTGGCCTCACATTTTTAAGGACACAAAGGTGGTTTTTTCCACGCTTTTAGCTGAAAGTCAGGACGAACATATATACAGACAATCTCGTTTTGCATAAGGAGATTGCTGTGTACTTAATGAACTCTATCTGAGTTTCAGAAAAAGGCATACATATCACTCCACCATATTTCCCAGGATATACGTTGTCTGTTAAATACTTTTCTTGAATATGCAGATGCTTGTCAGAACTGAGGATTTTATACATGAACCTTGAGGAGATTTGTTCTATTGAATTGGATTTCACTGGAATTGAGAAAACTTATGTAAACCTACATGAGGCAATATTTCTTCTTACTGTATTGGAAGAAGTCCATGATAGGGAGTTTCCATGACGGGGAAACCCAGTTAACTTGACAAGAGTCCTTTGAGAGAACTCCGTTGGAATATTTCCCTCGGTTCACTCAGAGCAGGGAACTTCTGAGCAATTAGTGAATTTAGTGTAGTTACAAAGTACACGTGCAGTCCAACACACAACAAAAATCTCACTGGTAAAATGCAAGAAGCAAGCAAGAATAGAAGCAATATTTGCTGACTGTGCTGATTTTTCCTATTGTTTTTTAGCTATAATGAAAGTGTATGAAGATTTTTTCCTTTACAAAGAGGGAATCTATAGACACTCCCAGAAAGCAGGATCTAAATGGAAAACTCATTCAGTCAAACTCCTTGGGTGAGTAAAGCATATTCTTTTACCCTTTTCCTCTGCCAGTCATGAACGTAGTAAAATGTCAATGACCAGTTTGGAACCCAGAGGTTTCACTGTCAGAGGTGGAGCACTGTTAGCTCCCAACATAAGATTGTTGTTGTTTCATTTTTGCATATCGGAGAATTTTAGAGAGCATTGGAAAGAGGTATAGACCCATCATCTTTTAATCTACTCTAACATTTGCTCTAAAACTTCAAATATACTTGTTTATAGAACAAAATGTTTTGCTGAGTATTCACAAATATCCCATGTACACATCAAGTTATGAACAAAACAAATGCAATTTCCTCCAAACATGCCACCAGAGTGCAAATGGAAACATAAAAATTGCCAGTGGCCTCCTAATTAACAAGCACAGCTTATTGGCACAGCAGTCTAGGCTCTCTACGCCCCAAACAGAAATCAACTGGTGCTGGGATGCTGCCGATTTTATTTGGGATGCACAAGGAGTACACACTCAGGTCTGAAACTGCTACATAAGAGTGTGTATAATACACTAGTGGATTTCCCTTCAAATGTAGACCAGTGCCACTATATTAAGATGACAAGTATCTAATAATGCATACACTCGAATTACAGAACACACCATGGGGCTTTATTCTTTGACATGGAGGGAATATGCAAGGATGAATTTATTAAATCACTGGGTAAGCAGTTACACAGAGAAATGACTGGAGAGTCTCAAACAAATATTTTATAGGTGATCTAGCATATCAAATAAATAATGATTCAGGCCTGTGCGAGGAATATTACTGAGAGTATCTTCAACATGTAGTTCAAGAAAATAAAGTCATGAAATAAAGTGCACTTTGTGTTTGTGACCTTAGTGAAGATATCCTTGTAAAGGACATGGAAATGCCTATGGTTGTGGAAACTGCTGGCTATGAATTACAAAAGTGTGCCTGATAGTGGCACAGCAGCAAAGAGAAGCAGCAGGCTTATGCAAGATCATCCTTAACCCCATACTGTTGCAAAAAGTATTGACTCAGACTAGTAGAGGAAAAGCTCCTGAAGTATGCTTATAGTGAATGTTGTGAAGCAATGAAAGAAAGAAACTGGAATTTAACGTGGAAAAATTAGGAAAATATGTTTATGAAGGACAGCCGGTATGTATCAGTTTATGTGTATGTATTTAAGATATATCTGAAGTGCCATGAGAAACCAATAAAATTGGACAGTAAAATTTGCAATGTCATTTGAATACCTCAGTTCAGGGGTGAGCTGCTGTGAGGCTGTGAGTGCAGGTGTTGGGAGGGCTATGAAGTATGCTTGCTGCAAGCCTAGGGTGATGACAGCTATTGCCTCAGACATGCTGCCCCAAATACATGCTGAATAACCTACTGAGGTGAGTGATTAAGCCAGAATGGCACAGGGGGACAAAGTGGTGGCTGAGGAGGGAGAGACGAGGAGGGCTATTAATGTGCTGAAGTGGATGCTGATTTAAATGGGAACTGATAGTCTGTTCAAGGAAAAGATAGCAGCCCTTACGCAAGGAGCTACTCGTGAGCAAAAAACTGAGTGCCTTGGCTGAGACCGGCAGCTCCCTGCAGAGGATTGTGTTGAATGGTCAGTGCAAAACACTGAGTAGGAGGAAAGTCAAGTGGTCTGATATACTGAAGAAGGATATTAGAATTGAAGGAAAAAGAAGAAAACTGAAGGCGATGATATTTAAGAAACCTCAGCCTGGTTTGGAGTTTGATATGTGGGAAATGCATTTACTTACTAACTTTCATTGAATGTTGCTGAAGTATCCAGTGAATCCAATGATATAAAGAATTACCCATCCTTTCATTGTCTAATGCATGTGTTCTGACCTCCAAGATTATGCCATATAAAAATATTTGCAGAGGTGTTTAAAAAAATTGAATTCAAGTTTGACAAGTTGGAGGATGTTTGAGCCCAAGGCTAGGTGTACTTGAGTTTCTAGCAATGTTAAATGCAGTCATAAAATGTGATTCTGCACCATGAAGTCTAAAACATTCTTTTGCATAGTTTTTAATGTCTTCAGGATTAAGCTATCACTTTTTTATATCATTCATGAGTTTGATTAATTTGAAAGTAAAATATGTGGCCTGGGTATAAGTTCTTTTCCACTCACATATAGCTTGGGTGGGGTTTTTTGAGCAAAGGATAATGCAAACTCCTCAGCCTAAATAAAAAACTCATGAGAATCTCATTAAAGTTGGACTTCAAATAAAAATACTGATGATTATTTGCATTCTGCTTAGCTGAGATTGTTCCTGGAGAGAGAAAAAGGAACAGAGACATGCTGACACATAGGGTAGAAAATGCAGGTTTTTGGGGTTGATGTTTATTGTAGTCTGATTTTTTATTTATAGCCCCATCTGTAAAAGACATTCAATATTTGTAAAAGGCAGCCACAATAATGAATGACCATACTGAATCGATATTTGTAATCTCTCAGAAACATTTTTGATAATGCCTTAAACTGCCCATGAATTGTACAATGTATAAGGTGATGGACTCATAAAATGGAAATAAATTTTGGTGAAGCTTGCAAGATCTATTTGTACAAAAACAGAATTGCACATATAAACTGCCTAATTGATCATTGGATCATAAGGATTGTAAATTCATTGACTGGCTTCCCTTGTTCTGCAACTTGAAATTGCTAGTTATTTTCTATCATTTGAAGGCTTCCTATTTATAAAATCAGCTCTGATAGGACTATAAGTCTATCTCCAGTGAGGTACTGTGTGATCTCAATCTTAGAGCGAGAATGGGAAAAGACAGAACAGTATGGAAGCAGGAGAGGAAAATGTGGAACAGTCAGGCAGAGGGTGTTGCGGGTAGCAGACCATTTGGGTTTCATCACGGTCTCTATGGACAGTGAAACAGGGCTTTCAGCAATCTGAAGGCAGGATGGACTGACCCCACTGACATCTAGAGAGAGTAGGATGTCTCAAGCAGTTTCTGTGTCTGTATTCCAGAGACAGGGAGGTAAGCAGAAAAAGTAATTAATGGAGATTGGGATTCATAACAGCTAAATTTTGATGCGTAAAAGTTAGTTTCCTATGTCTCTGCTAGGCAGCCATGGTTCCCTTTATCTTCCATGGCTATTCATCTACTCTATCCTAGGTATCTATCTTAAGGTGTGTTGAATTGCTTTGTTGAATCATATTTATCTTTGCTGACTAAAAAAGAACCTGTGGGGTAACATCAGACTTACATACCTAACATTAAAATGTTTAGGTTAGACTAGAGGAATCCCACTTGTAATGGCATCATAAAGTCGATTAAAACCAAAATGACTGTCTGACTGGTACATAAGATTTATAGTAAGATAGTATCTTCAGAATGCCTTGCATATGTATGTTTGTGTATATGTACACACACACGTATCGATCTATGTGTATATATACACATAAAATTACAGTTCTTAATGACACCAGGATGAAAACAAGCTAAAGAGGCATAATGAAACTGCAAATGGTAAGTGAGACTAAAGAAGACAAATCGGTCAAAATTTGCTAATTTTCACTTTTTCAGCTGCACTGTTATTTTAAGAAGACTAATGACTGAAAAATGACATGTGAAACTGTCATCTTTATCTCAAGATCTCTTAATAATAAAAGTAGACTGTATTCACATCAAAGATGAACTTGGTAGCAGATTTATCTCTCGGATCTATACATTTAAGCCAGAGTTGCTGAACAAACCTGTCAAGTCTATTCTATAGCAGATTCTCTGTAAAACTGGTGCATTTTTTTTTTAATCTTCTTTTCCTTCTACTCTTCTGGCTTTCTTAGTTCCACCTAGGAAAAGACAACAGAAGAGAAATGTGGTGTCGAAAACATGAGGCAGATTTATTGATAGTGTAAAGATGCCAAAGTCTATTCAACATAGAGTTCAAATATATCTCTTTTCAAAGCTAGGCATAGTGAAGTAAAGTATGCGTCATTAATGTTTGCAGCCTGTTCAGACGAGTTGTCTCTCAGACTCTTTCCTCTTCATCACTTCAATATCAGTGCCAAGCTACAATATCTGATCCATACCTTCACTCAAAAAGCTGTATCTGTTGATCCTCTGACACTGAAAAATTCAGAAAGGCCCCAAAAGCCCAAGTCTTTGGCTACAAGCAAATCTATGGACTGTCACCTTAAGGCTTGGAGGGGACAAGAATAATTTTATTAAAAGCTTTAGATACTGTTTCATGAACAAGATAGATTTTCAGATGTTTGGAAGGTGCTCAGAATGACAAAGGACTTTCATAAGAGGACATTGGGAGATGTACATTAACTGGAAACACATTTCCCCTCTTTTTATCAATGATTCACTGGAAGCTTTAAATTCAATAGTGCGGCAGATTAAATGGCATTGAAACATCTATGCCCTGAAAAAACATTGGTTGAATGTTTCTTAACACAAAAAGCCATACTAATGGAGATAAAATTGACACGAGGCAAAAACTTGTTTAGTGTTGAGGGGATAGCCAGACAAAGCAACAACACTCTAAGATTTAATACATAATTAAATGACTCACCTGTGCAAAGTCCGAAGGCTTAAAAAAGACACCAGTGACTACTGTTATTGACATCTCAGGTTTTGGCTTTGAAGACACTGTTTTTCTCTTCGTTGTCCTCTTTCAAGCTTAGACTCAGAATAACAGTAAACAAGCAATATCTTAAACCACCAAAAGTCATGACCCAAATTATTTTCTTCCTGACTAAACAAGCCTTGGGTTGAGTTCCCTTTTTCTTTCATGGGGGGGAAAAATCTACTTTATTATTGTCAGACAATCAACATCAGATATTACAGTTTAAAAATTAAACAGCAACACCCAAAAATATTTTACAGTAAAGAGAAATACCTTAGAAGATCATGGGGAAAAGATACACAGTGTCTGATGATTCATGCAGTTAAATCCATGAGACTGTTTCCCATATAATTCATTACGGTAGATTTGTGGGAATGATTTAGCTATTGACTCACTGATAATTTGA